AGACCCTTCTAGGCCCGAAACGTCAGCTTTCCTGCTCCTCTGATGCTGCTTGGACTGCTGTGTTCATCCAGCTCTACAACTTGTTATCTCAGATTCTCCAACATTGGCAGTTCCTGCTATCAATTAGAAAATAAAATTAGGATTGGATAGAGTCAACATGTGTGTCATGTTATATTTAGATTTTCGGAAAGCTTTTGATATTGTCCCATATAAGAGGTGAAACAAAATTTGACCATTTGGGATAGTGGGAAATATGTCAATGTAGTTTGGGAACTGGTTAATGGATAGAAACCAGAGAGGAGGAATGGATTGGTTATTCTCAGCTTGGCCGTCTGATACTAGTGGGATACCACAAATATCAGTGTTTGGCTTCAGCTATTTAAAATTTATAGCAATGAATTGTATGTCAGAAATATATTTCCAAGTTTGCGGATGATGCAAAACTACATGGTATTGAGAGTTGTGGCAAAGACACGAAGATGTCTCAAGGGGATTTGGAGAGGCTAACAGATTGTATTCCATCTGCCACATTTTTGCTCAGTGTGGAGAAATATGAAACATTATTGGGCTTGTGTAGCTGGGAAATGTCAAGGCTATAAAATTATTTGAATTATAGGAGTAAAATTTTAAAATGAAGACTTTGCTGAAGGAAAAATGATGAAGAAAATTGGTCTGAATCAGTGTACAGACAGCAGAACTTTTACAGGGCTGGTGTTTGAGATACCTTCATACTCTCCTTTTAAACAATTATGTAGACTGTTTGAAGGATTTTGCAGGTTGACTGTTGAACCATGTGAATAGTCCTCCATGACAGACAAATTGTGGACTGGGACTTGAACCTCGGGCTTTTAGGTTCAGAAGCATAAGCACTATCAACTGAACCATTCAGACTCCTTTTACTCAGTTTTAAATAAAAAGGGATTGAAACATTTGGTCAGCTTCAAGTGTTGATAATTGGACTTTTGTGGCACAATAAGATCAGAAGATTTTCATTAATATGCTTATTCATGGTATGAGAGTGTCACTGGTTAAATCAGCATATTATTGTCCATTTCAGAGGGCATTATTGTCCATTTCAGCCACACTACTGTCAGTCTGGAGTCACATGTAGTCCAGGCCAGGGGTAAGGATGGCTGTTCCTTCCCTCAAGGGCATTATAGAACAGATGAGTTTTTGTGACAACTACAATGGATTCATGGTCTTCATTAGACTCTTAATTCCAGATTGTTATTGAATTCAAATTCCACTATCTGCCATGGTGGGATTCGAACCCGGATCACCAGAACATCACTGGATTAACAGTCTGGCAATAAAACCACAAATTTAGGAGCAGAATTCCATTACTACTTCTCCAGCCTCATTTTCCATTTAGCCCATCAAGTCTGCTCGTAAATCAGTCATGGCTCTTACGTTTCTCAGTCATTCTCTTGCTTTCTCCACGTAACCTTTGATCCCCTTACTAGTCAAGAAGCTATCTATCTCTGTCTTAAAGACACTCAATGACTTGGCCTTAATAGCTTTCTGCAGAAATGAGTTCCATAGATTCACCATCCTCTGGCTGAAAAAATTCCTCCATTTCACTTCTAAAGGGTTGCTTCATTTTGAGACTGTGCTGTTGGGTCCTAGTCTCTCATACTAGTAGAAATATCTTCTTCACATCCACTCTGTGGGCCTCTCAGTGCTCTGTAAGTTACAGTGCACTCCCCCTTCATCCTTCTGAACTCCATTGAATACAGGCCTAGAGCGCTCAACTCCTCCTCATATGACAGGCCCTTCATCTCTGGGATCATTCTTGTGAACCTCCTCTTTTTCTGAAGAAGGATCTAGGCCCGAAACGTCAGCCTTCCTGCTCCTCTGATGCTGCTTGGCCTGCTGTGTTCATCCAGCTCTGCACCTTGTTATCTCAGATTCTCCAGCATCTGCAGTTCCTACTATCTCTGAAACATCCTTTTCCTTAGTGATGGCCACTACATTCACCTCTGCCCCGTAACACTCTAAAGTTCTGGTATGCTATTGAAGTCATCCGCAATAAAGACTGATGCAAAGTATCCATTCAGTTCCTCTGCTATTTCTTTGTATCCCATTAATACTTCTCTGGCCTCATTTTCCAATGGTCTAATGTCCATCCTTTTCTCTCTCTTACCTTTTAGATATCTCACAAAAACTCTTAAAATGTCCTTTTATGTTACTAACTAGCTTACCCTTGTGTTTCATCTTCTTCCCTTTATTGTTTTTTCAGTTGTCCTCTGCTAGTCTTTGAAGGCCTTCTAATTGTCATCCTTGTGAACCTCCTTTGGACCCCCTCCAAGGCCAGCACATCCTACCTTTGATACAGGGTCTAATATTCTAAATGTGGTCTGACCAGAGCCTTATACAGTCACATTGTATGTCCCTGCTCTCCACGCTCCACATGGCTTTCCACTAATCTTTACCACATTGTATGCTTTTATGCTGTTCCTGACTTCCTTTGTGAGCCATAGTTACCTTGTCCTCTCTTTAGTATGTTTCTTCTTCCTTAGCATGAATTTTTGCTGTGCCTCCTGAATTACTCCCAGAAGTTCCTGCCATTGCTGCTCCATTGTCTTCCTGCTAGGTTCCCCTTCCAATTAACTTTGGCCCATGCATCGCTCATGTGTCTGTTGTTACCTTTACTCAATTGTAATACCACTACATCCTCTCAAACTGCAGGATGAATTCTATTGTATTATAGTTACTGCCCCCTAGGGGCTATTTCACCTTGAGTTCCCTAATCAAGACTGCCTGATTACACATCACCAAGTCCAAAATTACCTTTTCCGAGTGGGCTGTACCGCACGCTGCTCCAAAAGAGATCATCTCCATGATTTCATTTACTTGGGCTCCTCGAGCAACCAAATTTTCCCAATCTACTTGCGTATTGGAGTCACCACGATTACTATGATAGTACCTTTCTTACATGCTTTTCTGTCTCCTGATTTATTGTCTACCCCGCATACTGACTGCTGCTAGGAGGCCTGTCTGTAATTCCCACCAGGGTTTTGTTTTCTTTTTCATTTCCTCAACTCTACCTACACAGATTCTATGCATTCCAACCCTGCATGGCTTGCTATTGATTTAATTTCATTTCTTACTAACAAGGAAACCCTTCCCCTTTGCCCAGCTCCCTGTCCTCTGGACAGGAAGCATATCCTTGGATATTTAGTTCCCAGCCAAGAGACAATGGTAGTGCTCTTACTGCTGGGAGACAAGATCCTGGTACAAAGTGTTAGAGGTTGTTGCAGAGGTTTGTAATAACTTGTCTAAACAAATTTTTAAAATGTCTAAAAATATGTAATATTGATAGTGACTTCAATAGTATGTTAAATGTTATTTGTCCAAAATCTCAAATATTTGTTTAATGTCATGTAATTGGATTTCTTCTATTTTTACAGACAATTAATACATCCTAAATGTCCTATGGAATTGTCTTTTCTTGGAGCACGCAGATGTGTCTTTTTGATACACGACAGAAACATTTTGTGGTTATTTTTGACATTGATGACAAGATCTGAAAATATACTTTAAGCTTTGAAAAAAGACATGCTCCTAATAAAAATGCTTCGTTTGAAGCGAACATGCTGCCCTTTGATGAACTTCTGTCGCCCACAGGCAATGGGTTGTGATTCCTTACTGGATCAGTTAGGCAACTGCGCCAACGAGGACCAAATATTTGATGTTGTAGCGAAGAATAAAGCCAAGCTTTCAGTGGAACATGTCAAGCATGCAATACATCTGCTGTGGCAATTTCAAAAAGAAAGGCCACAAATGCTGAGGACAATAGATATCGTTAGAAAACATCCACAGTTCATGGTTCTTCATGCAGTAGCTGAAAACAAGATTGACCTGATGGATGATGATACATTGGTGGACATGTTATACAATGCACTGAGGTAACTACAGGTACTGAAACCAGTTAAATTCTTGAAAGAGGATAAAGTGCAATTATTTTACGCCGTTGTTAACCCCTCATAGCATTGTTTTAATTAATTCAGAGGATGATGGTTTTGCTGGCTCAGCTAGCATTTATTGCCCTAGTTGTCCTTGAGAAGTGTGGATGTATAAAAGGATCTAAGTGTCTTTGTACATCAGTCAATGAAAGTAGATTGGCAGGTGCAGCAAGCAATTAGGAAGGCAAGTGGAATATTGGCCTTCATTGCAAGAGGAGTTGAGTTCAGAATTAGGGATGTCTTACTGCAGTTGGTGAGACTAGTCCTGGTGTACTGCATGCAGTTTTGGTCTCCTTGCGTACAAAATGGCATAAAGGAAGTGCAATGGAGGTTCACGAAGCTGATATTTTGGATGGCAGGAATGTCCTATGAAGAGACATAGGTTTGATTGAGTCTGTATTTAGTACAGTTTAGATGAATTGGACAGGATCCAATTGGAACATGTAAAATTCTATCAAGATAGACAGGGTAAATGCAAGAAGGATATTTTCCCTGGTTGGAGAGTCTAGCACCAGGCAGGGGTCATTGTATCAGGGTACAGGGTAGATCATTTATGACTGAGATGAGGAAAAATGTTCTTCACTCAGTAGGTAGCAAATCTGTGGAATTCTCTATCACAGAAAGCTGCAAGTATCACTGGAATGACAGGGAGTCAGTGAACAGCACCAGCATGGAGTGTCTATCTAAAAACCTAGGTAACTTTCTGAAAACCATTAGAATCTATAATCTAGCCCTAAACTACCCCTAAGCCATGTCAACCTTTTGTGAAATTGAGTGAAATTAGATGTTTCAAAACATCAAAATATTTTAGAAAGTGGATAACACATCCATTAAATGGTCTTGCACACAAGTCCGACCATTCCAGACATGATTCTTAATTTTAGAGACCGCCTTAATACACACAAATCTGAATCTATTCATGTTCGCTATTGTAGCTTCGAGCATAATTTAACAATACAATTTATCGTTTCATTTGAAGGTTGAATGTCGAACCTCATGATTCAATCATACAACAATTTATGGTTGAGGCATCAAGACGGATTGAAAGGTAAATGTAGCTGCTTTTATTCTCTTCATTTATATGTTTAATAGTTTTGACAACTGATACCTTTGTTTTACCTCTTTATTCTATTACATTGTGAAATGCTACAGTATTAACAGGCCAGATACACTGGGAAGTAATGGCATAAAATGCGAGTGTGCAACAAAGTACTTCTTAAATGCCTAAAACTTCATCTTTTACTTTAATTAGATGTGACTAAAAATGGAAAGTATTGTGCAGTTTTCTCCTGTTTGATACAATGTTTATTTTCAGATAATACTTCGTATATTAGTACACCATGTGCAGAATAAATTAGCTGAATACCACCGACAAAGCTTCTGAATTATCCTATTTAAATGGAATGCCTATTGTAGTAGTAACCATAAACTCCTCACTTTAGTCCCGTGTATAATGTTTCACTTTAAAGTAAATTATTCTTTAAAGTCTCTTTCTGCAATTTAAGTCACAATTCCTGTTTTTGCACTTTGTCCATTGTCATCACTGTTGGTGGTGACACTGTGGTGTCAGGAAGTTTTCTATAAACCTCAGGACTTGGTTTGGCAGATAGGTTGCTCAGCTCTGCTCACTACATCACTCTTACCCTACCTTCCTTGTTGCCATTCATTGGCTTGTTCAAGTGCTTATTGCCTCACTCAAATGGCCAAAAGTACTGTCAATTTGTTGTTTCCACATCCATACAGTAGAAATTCGGGAGATGTTTGGCAGGGATTGGGTAGGGAATAAAATCACAGTTGTACAGGTGGCTTGGAGGAAAGATTTATAGGAATTGACAGGGTTGGAGATCGACTGACTGGAGGCTTGTGGGACTGGGGAATGGGAATGGGCACACACCTGGAATTGGATTTGGGATTGGGTTCGAGTCTGGAGGAGACAGCGGAACAAATGGAGAACCAGGTGTTAGAAAGACTGACTAGGGTTAACAGTGAGACTTGTTGGAAATCAGAAGCCTAAATCCAGTTTATACATCAGTGCTTCCCAAACATTTTCCACTGTGACCACATTTCAAGGCTTGAACTGTCAGTGCGACCTATGACAGCAGAGGTGGGTGAAGCTTCAAAGCACCCATTTACTGACATGGGGCTGGTGACCCTAAAATTTAAGTTTATCACCCCACTTGAGTCCTGAACCCTATTTTGGGAAGGCCTGTTGTACATTAATGGAAAAATTTGATTCGCTTGACACTGTTTTGCTTAAAGTTGCAAGTAGGATGTTAAGTGTAGAATTACTATTGCAAATCTGAACATTTTCTTATGTTTTTCTTGCTTCTGTCTTCTCTGCTGTGGAGATGTAATTAAAATTAGTTCAATAGCGGTTGCCAGAATTTCAGCACATTAATTTTATTCAATACAGTACATAATACCTCTTCCTTCAAGCTGTTTTCCTGTCCTTTGGAGACATTCCAATCTGAGGCATGGATAATTGACAGACAGAATCGCATCAAATTATTCATTTGAGCAGGAATAGTGTTGTTACATTTCTGGTCTTCAAATCTTCTGGGACCTTTCCAGAACCTAGGATTTTTTGGAAGGCTACATATAATGAATCCACTATTTCTGCAACCACTTCCTGTACAACTATAAGATGTGGGTCATCAGGTTCAAGGGACTTGTCTGTCTTTCATTCCATGAGTTTTTCTAGTGATTGTGATTGTTTTAAATTCTTCCCTTCTTTCTGACTCTTGATTTTATACTATTCTAATGCTTTTTGTGTCTTCTCTGAAGACCAGTACAAAATACCTGCTCAAAGTCACTGCCATTTCCTTATTTCCTTTAATAGTTTTTCACTGTGACCTTTTAAAGACCAATGCTTGCTTTAGCTACCCCATTTCTTTCAATTTACCTCCGAATCTTTTACTGACTGTTTTTATATTAGTTCCTAGTTTTCTCTCATACTCCACCTTCCACCTTTTTTTTTTTGAAGTCCTCCTTTGCTGGTTTCGAAAACTGCCATAATCTTTTAGGCCACTCCCATAAATCTTCATCCAATTTGACACTGTCCTTAACTTCCTTAGTTAGCTATGCATAGTACATACTTCTGGTAGAATCTTTCTTCTTCAATGGAATATCAGCCTTGGTCCAAATGCAGATTAAAGACCCGAACTGCACATGTGATATGAGAGTGACTGCTCCTGACATCACGGCAGTAATTGCCAAGGTATTGCATTTAAAAGCCGAACAATACTGAAGCCAGTGGGAATTGGGGGTGGGAATATTTGAACTCTCCACATCATACCAAGCACAGAGAGAGTGCATTGGATGCTAAAAGTCTCAGTACCAGGACCTGACCAGTAGAATTCCCCAGGGTAGTGTCCCAGACCTAACTACTTCATCAAGTAGCTTTCCATTGTAAGATCAGAAATGGGCATATTTGATGATGCTTGCAGTATGTTCACTGTTCATAACCTATCAGTTACTGAATCAGCCTGTATACATATGCAGTAAGACCTGCACAACATCCAAAGCCTATCCATGTCTACAAGGCACAAACCAGATCCTTGATGGCATACTCTCCATTTGTTTAGATAAGTGCAGCACTTGCAAAGCTCAAGCTCAACACCATCCAGAACAAAGCAGTCTACTTGATTGATACCAAATCCACCACCTTCAACATTCACTCCATCATCATGGCTAGTGTTTTACCATCTATATGGTGCACTGCAGCAACAAAGCATGGCACCTTCAATTGTACCTTCCAAAACTGACATCTGCGATTTGAAGGGCAAGAGCAGCAGATACATGAGTACCACTTCCTGCAGGTTCTTTCACAATCTTTAGGTCATTCCAGGATTTTGATCCAATAGTTCTGTGAATGTACTTATCCCCCAGAGTTTGTTCAGAAAGCAAGTTTGACACTGCCTTCTTTAGGGAAATTAGGAATGTATAATTAATGCTGGGCTTGCCTGCGATATCCACATCGCAATTTAAAGTAAAAATATGGTATGTGATATAATTGTAATGGAGAGTGTTGATATCATATCTCTGTGCCGTGTTCAACAACTTCTCCAAGGCATTTTTCCTCAATAGTGTCATCATAAGGAAGAATAATGTGTAAAATACTGGAGAGAGTGAGGAAAGGAGTTTGATAATAAAGGTAAAGAAAAATCTTTAATTTTCTTTCAATAAGGAGGTTTGATGATAAGTTTCCCCATATTCACCAGGAATGCATTGTTTTACATTTTATTTAGTATTTTATTAGTAAGTCTAGACCTGCCACAGACCTGATAGAATGTACTTTTTTATTTCTAAGAAAATAAGATTATCATTAATGCAACATTAAAATCCACCTTAAGGTATTAATGTAGGTCTATGTTTTCAAGAGATGTGGATAAACATTTGGAAAATGAACTTCTAGAGTGTTTGAAAAAGTTCAAGGCATTAGACATCAGTGGATGGCACTTTCAAATGCGATGGGCTTAACTGTTTCTACACTATGAAATCTGAGGATATTTTCTATCTTTCCTTCAGGATTCAGGAATCTTTATATGTGCTTGGGAGAATGGAAAGTAACCAGTGTTAAAGTCAGCAAATGCCATTTAGAAATCATCAAAATCTCACATGTCAAGAAAGGAAAGGCTATGTTAATGCTGATTGAGAGGGTAGGTGACATGAAGGAGGCCGTTCCACCTAGCCTGTCCTCTGTCAATAAGGAAATTTGCCCAGTGTGTTAGATTATTCTCAGTGAAACCTATATTTTAAGGCTAAGTTGAAAAAAGCTAACCAAATCTGATTAGAAAACATGGGCTGAATCTTATTTTTGGCAATCAGTTTTGTAAGGTTTCATGAAGGGCTTCCTTCTGCTAGGCCTGATGAAATTGCTCATTGAATCTTAAAAAAACCCACCTGATTAATTCCCTACCCTATCCTTTTGGTGCCTCGCTTGCCTGATTTCTAAACGAGAGAGGCTTGCGGGAATAAGCAAGCTGACCATGCCATTGTACTGCTTGCCATTTCTGGAAGAACATTCCACTTACTGGATAACCACTGACAGACTGGCATCCCTGACATCTACACCACCTTTAAAAGATCACTTTGCACTCGAACAAGCACCGGCATTCTGAAGCTGCACTGTTCGTTGAAAGACAGTCTTTCTGAAAGTGTCTGCAGTTCTCTGACAGAGGCCTCCAGGAGGCAGTCTCACACTTCAGATTAGGCAGTTCAAAGTTGGTCTATAATCAAGGGCAAGGGGGTATGACTGTAAGAGAAGAAGCTGTGGGGGCCCAAGGGGCACCTCCTGAGGAGCTTCTGTCCCTGCAGTTGTCCAACAATTATGAGGTTCTTGCAGGCTGTATGGATGAGAGAGGCTTGCAGGAATGATAAGCAAGCTGACCATGGCGTTGTACTACAAGATGCCATTCAAGTAGGAGAGGAAATAGTAGTTATAGGGTATAGTATAATTACGCAGCTGGATACTGCTCTCTGCTGTCATGAGCATGATCCCTGAAGGCTGTGTTACCTGCCTGCTGTCAGGTTTAAGGACATTTCCTTGGGGCTGGAGAGAAATTTGGAGTGGGAGTGGAAGGATCTAGTTGTCACCACCCATGTTGGTGCGTGTGACATTGTTAGGAATGGAACGGTGGCTCTGCTAAAAGATTTTGAATAAATCTGAGCTAAACTAAAAAGCAGAACTTCGAAGGTAATAATCTCAGGATTGCTACCTAAATCATGAATAAGCTGGCATGGGGTAAGTAAAGTCAAGGAGTTAATCAGTGCTGTGGTGGGAATGAGTTTCAGTTCATAGGGCATTAGTACCAGTACTAGGATAGAAGGGAGCGTTTCCAGTGGGATAGGCTTCACTTGAACTGTGATGAGATCAGTGTCCTAGTAAATCGAAAAACTAGGGCTATAGCAAGGGGATAAACTAAAGAGACGGGAGGGGAGGGTTCAGGAAGGGAAATACGCAGGCTTATAAATCAAAGGATATGGTAGCATTGCTGGACAGCTATTTTGATAATGATATCCACAGCGTACAAGTATAAAAGGAAAAGTAGCAATTAAGGTCAAAGGGGAAAACAATGATAAAAGGACAAAATTAATCACACTTTACTTAAATGCAAGCAGTATTCCGATCAAAATAAGTGAATTAATAGCATGAGAAAAGGTTAATGTATATACTCTTATAGGCAGTATGAAGACGTGGTTACTAGGACATCAAAACTAGGAGCTAGATATTCAGAGGTATGTGACTTTCAAAAGGACAGATGAGAAGGGTAGGGTAGCTTTCTTTGTACAAGATGGAATAAATACTGTAGCAAGAGATGATCTAGGATAATCTGATCCTAGAATTCAAATAAGTGGAGGGAAGAAATATCAAGGGAAGAAGACTCTGGTAAGAGTAGTCTGTGGGCCTCCCTAACAGTAGCAATTCTGTGGGTTAGAGAATAAATCAAGAGATTATGAGGACATGTAACAAAGACAGTACATTAATCAAGGGAGACTTTAATTTTGTAGATTGTGAAAATCAAATTGCCTAAGGTAACCATGAGGAAGAACTTGGTATATTTGGGACATTCCCCAGAACAAAATGTTGTGGATCCAACCAGGGATTTAGCTGTGGTAATGCATAATGAAGCAAGTTTAATAAACTATGTCAGAGTAGAATTTGTGCTAGAAAACAGTAACGATAACATGGTAGAATTTAACATTCAATTTGAGAGAGAGAAATTTGGGTCAGAAATAACTGTAGTAAACCTAAATGATGTTAATTACATAAGGAGGAGGGCAGAGTTGACTGGAGTGAACTTGGAAAGAGGTTTAGTAGAAAACACAGTTGAATAACAATGTTTAAGAAAATAGATAATGACTCACAGCAAAGATATATCCCAGTACGGAAGAAGAATTCTTGCAAGGGGATAAACCAACCATTGTTAATTAAGGAAATTAAGGATAGTATCAAATTGAAAGGGAACAAATACAATGTCTCAAAGATTAGTAGTAAATCAGAGGATTGCAAAGTTTTAAAAGCCAATAAAAGATGACCAAAATAATAGAGAGGGAGAAAATGACCGTTGAGGGCAAATTAACAAGGAACATAAAAACAGATAGTAAGAGCTTCTTAAAGTATATTAAAAGGAGAAGATGGGCCAAAGTGAACATAGGCCCTTGAAAAATAAACCTGGGGAAATAATAATGGGAACCAGAAAAATGGCAGAAGAGTTGAATAAATTTGAATACTTTGTAATACTTCTTAAAAATTGAATACCTTGCGTCAGTCTTCACAGTAGAAAACAATAATAACATTCCAAAATACTAAAGGGTCAAGGAGTGGAAGGAAATAAACATAATAAATAATGCTAGAGACAAAGTACTAGGACTTTAAATGTGCCGAAGGCTGAAAAACCTCCAGGACCTGATGGTTTGCATCCTAGGATTTGAAAAGGAGTAGGTGTGGATAAACTGGCAGTAATTTTCCAAGTACGCTTAGATTCTGGAAGAGTTTGAGGATTGGAAAACTGCCAACGTAACACCCATATTCAAAAAGGAAGGGAGACAAAAATCTGTTAACTATACACATGTTGGCTTAACACCTGTCATTTTGGCAAAATGTTAGAATGTTATAAAGGATGTAAAAGTAGAGAATTTAGAAATACATAATATCGTCAAGCAGAGTCAACTTGGTTTCTTGAAGGGGATATCGTGCTTAACACATTTATTAGAGTTCTTTCAGCAGGTAACAAACAGGATAGAAAATGGAACTAGAATACATTTGGATTTTTAAAAATCATGTAGCGATACCGCACATAAGGCCGTTTAATCAGAGCCGACGGTGTTAGGGGTGGTAAATTAGCATGGATGGAGGATTGGCTACCTGACTGAAGGCTATGAGTTAGGTTAAAAGGCATTTTCGGGATGGCAACCTGTAACTAGTGGCACGCCACAGGGATCCCTACTACTAATCATTTGATGCGGAAATGAATCTACAATAGACAAGTTTGCAGATGACAAACAAACAAAGGTGGGAAGACAAGTAGTAAGGATGACAGAGTCTAAAAAGGGGTATAGACAAATTGAGTAAATGGGTGACAACTAGACAGATGGATTATAAAGTGGGAAAATGTGAGGTTATGCACTTTGCAGAAAGAACAGAATAGATAATAGCGAGTATTATTTAAGAGGGGAATGATTGCAGAAAGTTGCAGCACTGAAGGATTTGGGGAGTTCATCCATGAATCTTGAAAAGCTAGCATATAAATTCAGGTAAATAGGGAAGGCAAATGGACTGTTGGCCTTTATTTAAAAGTTAATGGTGTATGAAAATAAGAAAGTCTTGCTGAAACTGTACAAGGCACGAGTCAGACCATAGCTGGAATATTTTGTCCCTTTTCTTTAGATTAAGTTCCCTGGACTTGGACTACCCAACTTATAGAAATAGTTTTTCTACTTGTTACCCATAATACTTAGAGAACTTTGATCAAATCACCCATTAATCTTCTAACTTCCATGGAATGCGACCAATCTGTCCTCAATTAACCAGGTGGTATAACCAGGTGGTATTTATTAAATTTGTTACACTGCACTCCCACCATGGCCAGTAAATCCTTCCCAAGATGTGGTGTCCAGAACTGAATGCTGCATAGTAGGTACGGTGTAACCAGAGCTCTTTAGTTTCTGTGTCACAACTTCTAATTCCTTGCATGCTGGTCGTCCAATATAAAGGTCAGCATTCCCTTACCTTCACAATTATTAAAAAAAGCTATTACTGATACTATTTAACATTCTTGCCTTGCTTGTTCATAAAGCTGTCATCACACCCAAAAAGATAATTTAAATACATAGCATTCTGCTGAATAAAATATTTACATTGTTCCAGTATTATTTTCTAAGCTGTAAGTGTTGAAATTGTTTTTATTTTGATAGGTTTAATATGGCTACATTATCCAAGTTTGCTGTGTGTCTGACTGATCAACATATGTACCACAGTCCACTGATGGGAGAAATCACTGATATTGTTCACAGGAAGTTGGAATATATACAGGATGCAAGGTAATGTTACTAGGCAAGTGGGACTATTTTGTTGGCTTCTGGCTGCAGTATTTTGTGTCACTAATTTTGCATTGGTTTCAGGTTTGCTCACCTGAGTTTCAAAATAATTAATCATATGTGAAGTGCATTGGAATGGCTTTGATAAACTTTAGATGCTGTATAAATGCAGATTTTATTTTGAGGTGCAATGTAAAGAAACTAGAATTTTGGGGGTTGCTTTTCTTCAATTTGATCAAAAGAACTTATCTCGAATTTGATCAGTTGGTGTTCTTTTGCACAAGTATGTTGTCAGCAGTAGTTTTTTTTTAAAACTTCCAATTAATACATTTTTTGGATATAGAATCATACAGTTTTTATAACATGGAGAGAAGGCCTTTGACATCGTGTCTCACCAGTCATCAAGCCTCTATCTATTTTAATCAATTTTCCAGTCTTGTATATTATAGTGTTTCAAATGTTCATCTAAATAATTCAGAAATGCTTTGAGGCTTCCCATGTTTAGCATCTTTTTAGGCAGTGAGTTTCAGATACCTATAACCCTCTAGGTTTTTTTTGATTCTGCAAATCCCCTTTAAATCTCCTGCTTCTTACCTTTAAAAGGGTGCCCCCTCCCCTTCCCCAATGGTTATTGACCCATCTACCAAGGGTGGAAGCTTCTCCCTGTCTTCTCTGTCTATGCCGCTCAGAACTTAAACCTCAAGCAAATTTCCCCCTCAGCCTTCTCTGCTGTTAAGGAAAACAACCCAAGCCTATCTAGTCTCTCTTCATAACTGAATCATTCCAGCCCAGGCAACATCCTGATGAACCTCTTCTGCACCCTCTCTGGTACAATCATATCATTCCTATGTTGTGGTGACTAAAACTGCACACGGTATTCCAGTTGTGGCCTAACTAATGTTTTATACAGCTCTATCATAACCTCATTTCTCTTGTATTGAATGCCTTGTCTAATAAAGGTAAGTATCCCATATGCGTTCTGAACCACTTTATCTGTCCTCTTGCCTTGAAGAAACTATGGACATGCACACCAAGGGCCATCTGTTCCTCTGTACCTCCTAGGATCGTACTATTCAACATGTACTCCCTTGCCTTGTTAGTTCTGATTATCGTCCTTTGAATTGATAAATGTATCATGACTAAACAGCAAAATAAAAAGATCTTTAAAAAAATTACTGTGGCACAGCACTACTCATACTAATATTTATCAGTACTGATCTCCCATTGCTATCTATTCAATCTGAAATCAACTGTAAATTAAGTACTATGACATAGGGAAAATAGGTATAGTCTTTATTGCAATATAGAACATAACATCATGCAAAGCAATGAATGATTCTGAAAATATTAATTGTCATTGTTAATTATTTCTGTCTGTTGAACAGGATACTTTCATCTTTAATGTTAAGCATTTCTGGAATGATCTCCACACATCTTCGGAATTGTCTAATAGAAAAGGCAGAATTTCTGTTGGATACCAGGGATCCTTCTCAATTGAACAATTCACGCCGAATAGTACAATTTCTGCGCAACATCAAGTTCAGTTATCGTCCCCTGTTGGAAAAATGCAACAAGATTTTTCTTCAGAACATAAAAATTCTAGATGCTGATAACATAAGTATAATCCTTGGAGTGTACCAGTCTTTACATTTTAACAATTGTGACTTTCGATTAGCTGCTAAGTGGAGACTTACTGAACTTGTGAATGCTCACAGTGACCCTGCCAGTTTTCTCAGGCTATTTGCAGCACTAGGACCTTTATCTGGACCAGTGGTTAGAGAAAGGTATGTTCCTAACTTAGAGATCCATGGCATCTAAAAATAACTTCTGAACACATTCTTCACTCATTACATAAGAAAAACATGGAGCATTGTTTTGTTTTTTGGAGTTCTATTGTTGCATGGTATAAAAATTGTTCTTACAAAATATATCAATGTCATTGATTTGAGATTTTAATTTAATGATCTTCATCCATTTGAGATAAATAAAACTCCTGTAAAAATTATCAGCAATAATGTTTAGTATATAATATTGTTAAATCAAACATGTTTTTAAAACCATCTCATTTAAACTAATTGAAATTCAGTTTATAAAATTACAATCAGTTGTGTATATGTGGGTGTTTTGTAAATCAAAATTCGTTAGAATATAATTAACAAAATAATTTGCAACAAACATTCCTTCCGGCCTCATTATCACTCCGCCCTGTCAAATAGGCTTGAATCTGCCACCTTGTTAATGGTTGATGATTTCAGCCCTTCGCAAACATTAGCAGTTATAGAAACCATGGAAGAGATGGAATGCAGGAATCCACAACTAATTCAAAAGTAAGTGTACATACTATTGCTCACAAGCTTAAGTATTCTATTGATTGCATTTGTTGTGTTATGACTTCATTCATTTTAGGGACAGACAGTAGGCAGTGCTAGTGTCACTGGGCTACAAATCCAGAGGCCCAAACTGATACTGTGGTGATACAATTTTGAATCCTAACACAGCAGTTGGTAAAATTATTTTTCAACTGATAGAATATACAATTGAAAGCTACACTCATTGTCAAAAACCAGAGTTATTGCAGAACTGAGGCTTATGTTAGGTTAAAAAATAGTGGAGCAACTGATTGCAGCACAATATTTCAACAATAGGTATTTATCGTTCTGAACTTTTAATATGCTTTTGGATCATGAAGAAAGTGTCCATGGAATCATCATCCGTTAATGAGCCACAGTTCCATGAATTCGTTAACGTCCTGTAGGGGAGGAAATCTTATCCAGCCTGACCTACTAGTAACTCCAGATCCATGGCAAAGCAGTTAGCCCGAACTGCCTCTCTAAATTGGCTGAGTAAACTATTTAGATCAAGGCAATTAGAGATGTGGAACAAATGATGGCCATGCTGGCAATGTCTACACCCCATAAAGGGATAATGAAAACATTTCTCATTGATATTTGACCAGAAAATACTTATTTTATCATTCTCCTTGCTTAGAGTTGCAACAACTTTGTACACGCAATTGGATCAATTCAAGCCAGTGGATATTGCAAGAATAACAAAGGCACTGCTGTCGCTGCGTTGTCAAAATCCAGAGTTATATGCAAAATTGAGGCAAATGTTAATAAGGTAAAATGAATAGTAAAAGAAACTGAATTTACCATAATAATTGTATCATAAATATTTTTCGTTCTGAACTTTAACGTGGATGCACTAGTAGTGTTCAAGTCCCAACTGCTTCAGAGATATGTCAAAACATGCCTGAATAGGTTGATTAGAAAATATCATAATGTAGACTCAGGAGGGTTCTTGTGGTGCAATGGATGTTTGGATAACTAAACAATTGGAATAGTAATTTTAAATTCTTGCTTAATTTTTCTTTTGGAATGCATGCAAAGCTGAATTTCTGTAAATTTGCTAATATTACTGTAATGTAGAAATTAAGTTTATTGAAATACAGAACACTGCATCTTATGAATAAACTTGAAATGTTACTAAAATGTTCAACGATTGAGGCGCTTTGGCTCTTTACTATTATGCATTAATCAACAATAGTATAGAATTGTTAATGTCACGTTCTGCTAAAACAGTATGCTGCTTTGGGAACTAAGATTTTATACAGTGGGCAGCAGCAAATGTTGAATTTGTTTTCAAAGTGCTCCATGCAAATTATGTAGCAGTCAGGAAAAATTGGGTCCCTTAAAAAAAGTTGCCTAACAAGGATGTTGTTGATAAGTTTAGTCTAAACTGCTGTTTCATGTTAACCCATCTTTACATTGTTAGGGTATATGCTCAGAGGCTGATTATTGAAGCTTGTTAGGACTGATATTTCTTCAAATAGTGAGTGGATTGAATAGGTTTCTGAATAGAATAGTGAAAACTCAGGAGGGTTCTTGTGACACAGTGGTACTGTTCCTACCTCTGGGCCAGAAAGCCTGGGCTCAAGTTTCACCTGCTCCAGAAATGTGTCATAACATGTCTGAACAGATTGATTAGAAAATATCATAAATTAGATTCAGGAGGTAGTGGTGCAGTGGTAGTGTCCCTACCTCTGAGCCAGGAGACCCAGGTTCAGGTCCCACTGGCTCCCAAGAAGTTATAACACATCTTTTACATTCACAGTTACATTGAGTTGGGTGGAACACAAGCACCAGCAGAGGCTGGTTGAGCCAAATAGTCTTTTTATGTTATGCTGTAAATTTATTGTGCTTGAAGGTGAATCTTGATGAATACTTTATTTTGAAAGATAAGTAAGACGAAAGCAAGTTATTTCCAGTGCAAATTCAAATACCCCGCTATACACGTAATGTTTTCTTCACTTTGGAATTACAAGGATTAAGTTTTATTGCTTAATTATCGAATAAGTCACCAGGAAATACGGTAATTACAGGTTAATGATCACTTCATATGCATCATATTAGGTATTTTGTATGTTACTTGCGCAGTGGTCCTTATATACCAAGCACTCTGTCCTGCTTCTCATTTTATTATAAATGCTTTGTAGAGTCCTCTGTAAACCTTTGTTAATTATTTTGAGCTTGCATACCTGAGTTACAACTTTCAGATCCAGTTAAGGTGAGATCTAAATCTTATTTCTGTCAGGTGTAAATACATTTGGAAAGTTCACAGCAAATATGGCCCTTCAGATTACTCATTTACTGTCGTTTTTCCCTTTCTTCCCTTATTTACCACCCCTTCATTACCCTCCCCTCATTTCAGTTATCTTCATCGCAGTGTCATCCCTTATGAAGTGTCCATGTTAACTCGAGTTCTCTCCCTCCTTCCCTCTCCGCGAATTGATAACCTGATCTCTGCACGTATCGATGCAGTCTTGCCACAGTGTAATTTAAGCGACTTGAATGCATTGGCCATTGCTATCACCAAGTGGGTACGGAATGGCTCCTTATACCAACCTGGCATAGCAGCAGTGTACATGAAGCTACTACAGAAGCTGAATAAATGTGGTTTGGAAAGATTGCAGAAGGCAGACTGTATGGATCTACTGATGGAAGAGCTAAAATACATCTCTGGAGAATGGTTTGAAGAAGTCCTTGCTGAAGAAACTATGACAACCTTTGAACGATTGATTGATCAGGTGACTGAGTCCAATGTTGCAGAATTTGCCCTGTTTCTAACTAAAACAAATTGTCTACATACTGATCTGTTGGACCAAATAGCATCTGTCACGCTTAAACATATCAACAAGGTATGTAACAGTAGTATATTACATAGCAAAAATCACTGCTGTTTTCTTCCTTTTGACCACCTTTTTTCTTAACTTGTAACCTATAATGCTACCATAGGGGAAACTTCCAACTTGTCTAAGGGCCTAATACAGATAGTGGTGAATCAGCACTTGTTATACAACTTGTCTGATTTTTCTTTCCATTGGTTTATGTTGAAAACAGAATTACAGTTGGACTGCATCAGCAGTTGGCCTGTTGTATGCTCCTGTGAAATCGCAAGTTCCGCCAACATTTTTCCAATATTGCTATGTGTTCTATCTCATTTCTGTTCCACTTCTATCCTCAAATTTCATGTGTGGTGTCTTTATTTGCTGTTCTGGCTCAGCTCTCAGGTTTCATTAGAGAGTTCCATAATTTTCTACTTTAATCACTAATCCTAACGTCCAATTTGTTTCATGTATTGTATACATTAGTATATGTTTTGGTTGAAATTTTCTGAACCTTTATCGCCAATTGCTTTGCAACTCCAGGTTTTTTTTTGTTCTTTATCACTACATATTGTTTAGTCTTTTAACCAATTTGCCTTGTTATCTAATTGCATGTGATTTACTGCTCTCTGAAGCTTCCAATTCTTTTTCTTGCCATTTTAGTTTAAATTTGGGTACCCCAAACCTTTCTGTTGTGGCCTTTTTTGAATTGTAATTTTATGTTGATATTTTATAAAAATACGATCAGTGAGTTGCTGTGAATATGTCTTTCAAAGTAATGTTGTATATAGATGTGGAAATATTGCAGAGGCCTAAAGCACAATTGGTCAAATGTTCCCTTTGTGTACACAGATAGCATAGTCCACTGTCTGACAACAATTAATATACATCATAGAATCATAGAATCCCTACAGTGTGGAAACAGGCACTCCGGCCCGACAAGTCCACACTGACTCTCAAGCATCTCACCCAGACCCATCCACCTATAACCCACCTAATCTACACATCACTGAACATTACGGGCAATTTAGCGTGGCCAATCCACCTAGCCTGCACATCTTTGGACTGTGGGAGGAAACCGGAGCACCCAGAGGAAACCCACACAGACATGGGGAGAACGTGCAAACTCCACAAGACAATTGCCCGAGGGTAGAATCGAACCCGGGTCCCTGGCGCTGTGAGGCAGCTGTGCTAACCACTGAGCCACCATGCCGCCCCTATGCATCAGGTACTATGCTTCATAGAAGTCCTAATTGCAGTATAAGCCCAGCCCTGTGACTTCACATCAAATGACCCTGCAACACTAAATCCAGACTTGCCCAAAGCCTTATCGAAAGCAGGCATCTTATTTCATTTTGATGAGTGCTTAAGAGAACAATCTGATGGCTACATTGAAGTACTGCAGAAAATACAAAGAAGAATCATTTGTTTGCTTTTGCCTTCAGTTCAGAATGAATCCATATCTCAACTGTAAATAGTTTCTAATCAACCTGTTCAGAGATGTTGGTTCACATCTCTGAAGCAATTGGGACTTGATCCCAAATCTCTTGACTCAGAGGTAAGGACAGTGCCACTGCACTAAAGAGCCCTGTATCCCAATTAGACAAATAGATCCTTGCATGCTGGAATGAATTAAATTGCAGAAGAGGGAATTTAAATTTCTTTTTGACACTTCAGGGTCACTGCAAGTAGCAATTGAGGAGGCATCAATATTGTATAGTTTAAGATGATTGGATAATGATTTAAAATAAATATTATGAAATAAAGAATGGCAATCGAAGTGGTTGACAAGAACTGAGGATGATGGTCAAAACAGCCTTTTCCTATGCTGTAGTTTCTCAGATTTTATTCTGTACTTCTAAACTTTTATGAATGCACTATTCCTGAATTTTTGTTCATTTTACACAAATTATTTAAATACTTCTCTGACCAAATAGTTTCTAGGTCTGTGTATGAAGAACAGCTAAAGGACATCACTCGTAATCTGGAGCCATTAAATAAGAAATGTCACACCCAAAAATGATAAAAAAGGAAAGTGGATCAAATACTCCTAAAATTTGATTTTGATTTCATCTGTATTTTTATTTTGAAGATTTCTTGGACTATGGAATGCTGCAGAACATGTTATTTAAAAGGGCATGAATTGCTTTTTGTAAAAGAGTATGAAATAATATCTGGAAAGAGGGAAGGAAGATGAGAAGCAAATTATCAAAAAGTTATGGATTACTTGCTGTTGTTGAAATATTCTATGAACTATTAGGAATCTGAATTTCTTAGTCCTCCATGGACAGATCCAGATCACTTCTTGTTGAATAATGATTCCTAAGCAATTTATGAACTGTAGTGAAAGTATTTGTGACATGACAATATGATGGCAATTTTATTTTTGTTCAATAATTCAGATCCATTATTCAGCCATATATGCCACTCTGCTTCCATTCACTATCCTGAATTATGATCCTCCACAAGCTGAAGAGTTCTTTGAATCCAGTATACAGCATATCAGGCCTCATTTGAGTGAGTATTGTACCATGCATCATGATAATGCAGAATATAAATTTTTGCAAGTCAATAAATAATGTCAACAGACACTCACTCAGTAAGTCAACGTGTTGCTTGACTTCTTATTTTCAACCAATAAATGATTTAAATGGATCGCAAGATTAGATAACTGTTTAAACACTGGTTCTGAGGAAGGGTCACTGGACCCAAAACGTTAGCTCTGATTTCTTTCCACAGATGCTGCCAGACCTGCTGAGCTTTTGCAGAAATTTCTGTTTTTTTGTTTAAACATTGAGTTTACCTATATTAAACTAGTTAAACAGAACACTGCTGTATTGATTGCGTGCCTTAATATTAGATTTCTGGATTACAATATTTAATTAAAGCCAAGCCTCTTCCCTGCATGGTTTCCTTTCTTGGTCCAAGATCTTAAATAATGCATGGGAAATTGGTGATTTAAGCATTCTGTCATTTCATAAATTGGTAGTAAATTTCTGAGCACCCTTAAGCCACTTCACCATGTGCTGTAATTGAAGATGATGCAAACTTTGGTCTGGATTGGGAAAGCTGGATAGAAGCTTACTGAGACAATAAATCAGTAGGTGAATTTTGAACCTGAATTGGTATCTTTTTGAATGTAGCGATTGGTAACACAAGAATACATGGGTTTGAGCAACCAAACATAAACTTTACTGTACAGCAAAGTAAAATAACTTAAAATATTGATCTTGTATGCAAATTTCCAAAATCAATATGAAGCAAAAATGAATTAACAAGCAAACTGTGGTCAAATAGAATGACCCGCATATTAAATGACTAATGCAACCTTGACCAATCCAGTGCATTTATTTACAACCCACCCAGATGCCAGAAATCACTGAGTCACAACAATCCCATTAGCACATAATCTTCCTTCAAAGGGGTTTCCACTTTTCAATCTCAAAGATATGCTTCTGAACTCCCTCCAATACAGTTGCAACTTGGACTACCTTAATACCTGTTTATTTTCCAGAGATTTAATCTTGTCTTCCAAGGCTGCATTGCACTCTAATTCACGATTGAACCACCAGCTCCCCGGGATTTCTGTCAGCACTACATCCATAGAGCCAGCGCACAACATTACTTTGCTACCTGGAACCTCTTCCTATACTCTTCTGGTCGTCTTCTCCCTGTTCTTCTGGGTCACTACCCTCTTCTTATGGGTTCCTGGTTTTCTTTCTCCCTTGGGACTCCTGAATGCTATCTTGCCTCTTTGCCTACTATCCTTTTGATAGACCCTATAGGTCCTTTGACTGCTGGTTTCTAATAGTTGCAGTAAGAATGGAGATTGAATATAGAGTTTGAGTTTCTAACTTAATTATACTGGTGTGGATTGTTTAGTCAAATTTCAGCCACCTTTTTAAGGGATGAGGCATTTTGTAGAATTATTCTTGGATTACAATCTCTAGGTAATATTGGTAGCACCTTGTACATGTCCACCCTATACGCAGGAAGATGAGGGAATCTGGGACAAAATTAGATTTTTGAAATTTCTTTTAAACAAAAAGGCATGCCAGATTTTTCAATTTCTATCTGCTTTACTACTACGTTACAACAATGAGTGTGTTTCAAAAGTTCAAATGTCCTGAACTCATGAAAGGAAGTACATCAATATAAACCCTTCAGTTTGTTTCTTTCCGTTGTCCAGAAATATGTAACATGTTAAATGAGAAGGTAAATTAGATGCTTCTGAGTCACTAATATTTTCAAAGACAAGGGCTGAGTTCATATTTACAATATAAATTACATTTCATTTTAACTACATCAATGACAAGCGACAACTTGCTTTTGAAGTCAATATAGTTGGTGCCACTTTACCCCTTCCCATTGAATAACTTTGAAATTTACTGCCACAGGTGTATGTAGGTAGGTGAATGTTATTTTTGGGGAATGAGCTAAGTTATAATATTATGTCTTCCATAAATTCATGATTTTAATTTGAAGATTTTTTATCCAATCTTCTAGAAGTACTGTGACTACACTTCAATTGCATTATGCTGTTTATTGTATTTGTATACTGTACCTTTATCATATGAATGAGTATTGTAAGACAAAAATATCCATATTTCTCAAGGATTAAAATATTAATCTTTACAATTGATATTGACAGTATTAATAGGACTAAGGTTAAAAATGCAAAATCAATTCTCTAAAATGAATTTTGCAAGCTCGGCAAGTTTCTAACCTTTATTGTGCTGATTAGCTTGTTTAGTGATACATTGGAGTTTGTATTCCCCTACATTATGACAGTGATTACACTCTAAGTATTTAATTACTGTAAAGCAGTTTGGGACACTGAGATCTTGAAAAATGCCACATAAATGCAAGTTTGTTCTTTTTTTCCATAGATTTATGTGACCCTCATCTGCTGGTCCTATTTGGTTACTCACTAGCCCTAGCAGGCTACTTTCCTGACATTCTAATTAAGACTATTTTTAGTGTGGATTTTCTAGTGAAGTTGGACTCTCAACTGGATAGTAAGTTTCATTTGTTATTTAAACATTCGTACTTGTAAATTATTAAAGGCATCATACGACCTTACAACAATTCCGAAATCTCAGATACATTAGGCTTGCACTTTTTTGCTGAACCCCTCCTCCACAATATAATTTCAAAAACAAAGCATAACTGCCTTTGAACAAAGCATGTTGACATTTTGGTTAGTATTTTTTCCAGATGTGATCTAAAGCATTAATTACCACCTTGGAACTTCCCTTACTTTCTGGATGCCATTCCACAGCTTTTTAGACATGTATGATGGTCAGACCTGAGACTGGATAAGTTATCATTGGTTAAGAGTGAAATTTTAATATTTCAAACTTCAAATGTTTTGAGAGACAATTTTTGGATAGATTATCACTCTATAATTTAGGAATGACTGATGACAACAAAACCAACTTTGCAGAATGAAACCTCTTATCTTTAATCAGTCTGCCCTGTAGTCAACTTAAGCAAAATGTGATCCTTAATTGCTTTTGAGCAAAACACTAGGCTGTATGTGAAGGTTTACCAGCACTTCCTTGGGATAATTAGGCATGATTAATGTTGACTGTTCCTAGAATACCTACATACTGGAAATGAGCAGAAAAATGTCGGACGCATCTGAATATCAGAATATCGGGAAAGTAGGACCAATCTGAAATGAGGAATTAAGAGGGCTAAAAGGGGTCATGAAATATCTTTAGCAAACAGGGTTAAGGAAAATCCCAAAGCCTTTTATTCGAACATAAGGAGCAAGAGGGTAACTAGAGAAAGGGTTGGCCCACTCAAGGACAAAGGAGGGAAGTTATGCGAGGAGTCAGAGAAAATGAGTGAGATTCTTAATGAGTACTTTGTGTCGGTATTCACTGAGGAGAAGGACATGACAGATGTTGAGGTTAGGGATAGGTGTTTGATTACTCTAGGTCAAGTCGGCATAAAGAGGGGGGAAGTGTTGGGTATTCTAAAAGGCATTAGGGTGGACAAGTCCCCCAGGTCCGGATGGGATTTATCCCAGGTTACTGAAGGAAGGCAGAGAGGAAATAGCTGGGGCCTTAACAGATATCTTTGCAGCATCCTTGAGCACGGGTGAGGTCCCGGAGGACTGGAGAATTGCTAATGTTGTCCCCTTGTTTAAGAAGGGTAGCAAGGATAATCCAGGTAATTATAGACTGGTGAGCCTGACATCAGTGGTGGGAAAGCTGCTGGAGAAGATACTGAGGGATAGGATCGGTTTACATTTGGAAGAAAATGGGCTTATTCGTGATGGGCAGCATGGTTTTGTGCAGGGAAGGTCATGTCTTACCAACTTGATAGAATTCTTTGAGGAAGTGACAAAGTTGATAGATGAGGGAATGGCTGTAGATGTCATATACATGGACTTCAGTAAGGCATTTGATAAGGTTCCCCATGGTCGGCTGATGGAGAAAGTGAAGTCGCATGGGGTCCAGGGTGTACTAGCTAGATGGATAGAGAACTGGCTGGGCAACAGGAGACAGAGAGTTGTAGTGGAAGCGAGTTTCTCAAAATGGAGAACTGTGACCAGTGGTGTTCCACAGGGATCCGTGTTGGGACCATTGTTGTTTGTGATTTACATAAATGATCTGGAGGAAGGTATAGATGGCCTGATTAGCAAGTTTGCAGATGACACTAAGATTGGTGGAGTAGCAGATTATGAAGGGGACTGTCGGAGAATGCAGCAGAATATAGATAGATTGGAGAGTTGGGCAGAGAAATGGCAGATGGAGTTCTATCCAGGCAAATGCGAGGTGATGCATTTTGGAAGATCCAATTCACGAGCGAACTATACAGTAAATGGAAAAGCCCTGGGGAAAATTGATGCACAGAGAGATCTGGGTGTTCAGGTCCGTTGTACTGTGAAGGTGGCAAGGCAGGTCGATAGTGTGTTCAAGAAGGCATATGGCATGCTTTCATTCATCGGACGGGGTATTGAGTACAAGAGTTGGCAGGTTATATTGCAGTTGTGTAGGACTTTGGTTCGACCACATTTGGAATACTGCATACAGTTCTGGTTGCCACATTACCAAAAGGATGTGGATGCTTTGGAGAGGAGGTTCACCAGGATGTTGCCTGGTATGGAGGGTGCTAGCTATGAAAAGAGGTAGAGTAGATTAGGATTATTTACACTAGAAAGACGGCGGTTGAGGGGGGACCTGATTGAGGTCTACAAAATCATGAGAGGTATAGACAGGGTGGATAGCAAGAAGCTTTTTCCCCAGAGTGGGGGACTCAATTACTAGGGGTCACGATTTCAAGGTGAGAGGGGAAAAGTTTAAGGGAGATATGCGTGGAAGTTCTTTATGCAGAGGGTGGTGGGTGCCTGGAACGCGTTGCCAGTGGAGGTGGTAGAGGCAGGCACGATAGCGTCATTTAAGATGTGTCTAGACAGATACATGAATGGGCAGGGAGCAGAGGGATACAGATCCTTGGAAAATAGGTGACAGGTTTAGATAGGGGAACTGGATTGGCGCAGGCTTGGAGGGCCGCAGGGCCTGTTCCTGTTCTGTAATTTTCTTTGTTCTTTGTTTGTTCTTTGAATTACTCGTTGAGTTAACTTTGATTTTTACCCAGCAGCAAAAACTCTTTGGCTTATCATTTTGTTCGTGAGTCAATTGGACTGCTGATTTAAAAAGTATCCAGCGTTGGGAAATGATTAGTTTTCATTCCCTCAAGTGCATATCGTCTACATCAGTATGCTTGCATTTAAATCTTCAAGTTACTGTTTTACAGGTAACTTACAAATTATGTAGCTCATGGTGTGCTTCTGGATCAACTAATTAAGCCACTTAACAGCTGATGAAGGTTGCCTTTGGTACTGTTGTCTGATGTGTATTATAATGGTACAACATTTTGCCTTGATGCTTCCAAAAAAGAGAGTGAAAAATCCCTGCACCTGATTGTTATCAGTCAACTGCATCCGAGTCTGCATGTGACTGTTTGGTTGAAGATAGGATCAAAATTATCATTTGAATAAAATGCCAAGCGGCCTTTTACAAAGAGGAAACTTGGTGAAAATAAAAAAAAAACGCAGAAATTTATTGTAATAATTTGGTTTCTAATGCTAGCATTGCCTGATGTTCTGAACATGCGGATCCGGTTACGTTTAATGGAGCTGAACAGAGCTGTCTGTTTAGAGTGCCCGGAATTCCAGACTCCTTGGTTTCATGACCGTTATTGCCAGCAATTACTAAATAAAGGTCAGTGATTGCATCGATAAATTGAAATATATTTTTGATCCCTTTTTGCTGAGTTTTTTCCCCTGTATTTCTCTTTTAATACTTATTCAATTCAGATTGTTGTTGTTGGAAGGAAAAGAAGAACATAAGAAATAGGAGTAGGGGTAATCATTCATCCCCTCATATCTGACCCATCATTCGATAAGATTGTGGCTGATCTCAACTCCTGTTGCCGTGCCAATTCACTGGGAAGTTTAGAGCTATGATACTTCAAAAATCTATCTACTTTCTAACATGACTAGACAGAGTAAAGGGCAGGAAGGATGTTCCCAATGATCAGGTGGGGACTTCTGATCTTACATTTTCAATGCGTGTTGAAACTCATTTAGTATGTTAAAACTTATATGACTAATACTTAGCATTCAAGTATGTCAATTTCTGACTGCAAACATGCTATTTTGTAATTTAATTTGTTTTATTTTAAAGGTAATCCTTCTGTCAGTGCAATCCAGCAGCAGATTCAAGAAATATTGGAGCACATATTGGGAGGAAGTATCTATTCCAAAACCTCTGTGTTTACCCCATATTATTATTTAATAGGTATGTTATTTGATCTTCTACAGCTTCCTCCAGATATAGTCTTCTGCATTTTGGAGGAAGGATAATTTAAATTGTTTTGTATTATTTTCCGTTCCTCATAATTCCAGAGATCTATCTGTCACCGATTCTGAAATCCAAGTGTTCTTTAATTTTGATGTGAGAATTCATTGCTTTTTGAGTACATTGTTTTTAAAGACCTTTAAGACTGCAACTGGTCTTTCATTTTAATAACACTGCACATACTTCCTTTTCATTTCACAAATAAGGCTTTAAAAAGCAAACAGACATAAAAAAGGACATAAATTATTTAATTAATTTATTTATTATAGTCTTCCTAATTCTTCGAAATAAGTCACCTTCCATGTTTAAAACTGCCACCTAGTTAGTTCTGAGAAGGTTTAGTGAAATAATGTAAGAAGATAAGATTATGATATTCAGCCTAGAATCTGTTAAGTCATTTAATTCAATCATGGTTGATCTGTACCTTGACTGTATTTACTGACATTAACTCTTTGTGGCTGAAAATAATCAATCTTAAATTTCAGTTGACCTGGTATCTACAGTCTTTTGAGGCATGTTTCCAAATTTCAACTGTCCATTTTGTTAGGAATAATGATCTCACTTCTAAATAACCTAGTTCTAATTTCTGTTTTATCCCTCTTGTCTGGATTCTCCCACAAGAAAAAATAATTTCTTGGAATATAACCAATCAAATCCTTTTATTGTTATCCCTAAATTGAATCATGTCTCAACCTTCTAAACTCAGGATTTGTAAACTTGACTTGTACTCTGTTGTTGTCAGCCTTTAATCCTTTCAGCTATTCTATATCCTTGGTCAGCCTTCACTGTATCCTGAACATACAAACACTGAAAACAGAATTCAGTGCTCCAAATGGTGCCTTGCCAAGGCTTTGTACACTGAAGCATCATTTCCTTTCTTCTGAATTCCATCTCCTTTGAGATAAATATCAACATTTAATTTGTTGTTCCAGGTGTTCATTCTTTCATTTGGATGACCATTGTAAATCCGTGTTTGGCTTCTTTACCCCGCTCAAGATAAAAACTGTTGTCAATGGTGATTTTCCCCCATTAAATATTTTGAGATTGAAATTGATTACTCATTCCTTACAGACTTTGAATGTATCCTTGACAAACATCAAAAGCCTCTTCCTTATGTGGATCAGAGCGTTAAGCTACTTTCTGAGAAAGGAAAACTATGTTGGGAACCAGACAGCAAACAGCTAGTACCTGGAGCACAAAGGTTCGTGCACAGCTGGTTTGTGTTTTCTCTTTAACGTTATCATGAAGCATGTACGAATTCTGAAGCAGTACTTTTGAAAATATCTTCAAAAAGAGATCACTCTACCAAGATAAAACCTGTATATTTTGATGTAGCTCATAACTAGTTTTTAACTGCTTAATAATTTATATTTTTGAATGTTATTCACTTTCTTTGTGCTCCTATGAAACCAACCAAACTAGTACTTTAGTCACAATTGTGTGGCATTATGTATGGTTATTTCTTTGAAGATACTTGCCATACTACTTTACATCTGATGTAGTAAGGTTAGTTCTCTAGGTAGTTGACAGTGTTGGGTTTTTTACACTCTGCTTTGAAAAGTTATATGCAGCAGAGATCCGATGGGAGACCTCAGCTACAATTTGCCATAGCTGAACCAGCAAGAAAGATTCAAATTTCTAGTGTCAGAAATATTGAATTTATTCCATCATCTTTGCTTTAGAGATGATTCAGACTTCATAGAGTACATCGTATATGTTGATGTACTTTAGCACTTTTAATGTGAATTTAAACATTGGACTTATTGCTCTTTTTTTATAAACTTGTAGTTAATTAACTGTAAAACACCATTGGAGTAAAATAGTTCTATGTGGTTTAACTAGAGTGGTATACTGTGTTATTGACATTTTTTGAGTATGAATTATCATTAATAATTAATAACAGTACATAAGGTTATCGACAGTTTTACATTTTGTAGTGACTTACTTAGAAACTGCTGGTATTTTATAGCATAAACCTTGGTAACCAGTTACACAAAGTACAGGTGTTGCAGCAGCCTGGGTCCTGCTACATATTTATTTCATAAGCTTTTTACTCCAGATTAGCACTAGCCCTACACTTCTTGCTGGTTGAATGTTTTAAAGTTTGAGGTTTAAATTATCAGTTACCTTGGACAGATCTTTCATAGACAATTTTGTCACTTTTTGTACCATCTGTCAAATTAGACCAAATCTACCCAGAGCTGATTTCCTTGCCTTTGGCAAGCATCATTTTAGATTAAGTGTTAGAGTTGATTGTCTGCCTTCTTTCTTACTCCCTCATTTCAGTCCTTTTAGCAGTGTGCTTCCATTCTATCTTATATGGTCCATGCCTGTATTCTCACAAATATGCTTTATTCTGCCTCCATCATGGCTGTTCCAGGGCTTTCCTGGATGGCCTTCTGTCCACCTTCTGCCTTTCATGCATTTACTCATTTAAAACCTCATCTCCCTGTATTGTCACTCACACTGTTCTATTTGCCATTATTCCTGTGTTTAGGACTTACATTGGTTCCAAGTTTAATTACAGCTTGATTTTTAAACTTTTCATGTTGACACCTGTCTATGACTTTGGAATTCTCTTCCTCCTGTTCTAACTTCCTTCGTGCAGCTATCTCTTCGACTTTCTAGACCTTTCACTCTAGAACTTCTTCCTTCATTTTATCCATCTCTCTGTCTCTCCTCCTTTTAAGGTGAGCTTTAAAGCTTACCGTACTGACCAAGTTTTTGGTCAGCTGTCCTAACGTTGCAATATTTTCGAATGTATATATTTTTGGCTAATTACAGTCCGTGAATTGCTTTGGGATGCTTTACTGCTTTTAATACTGCTGCAAAGAAGCAAGTTGTTGCACATCCTATACACATTAACCTTGGTTCCTTAACTCGCTTTCATGTAAAAACTGAATGCCAAGTTGCCACAAATTTTTTAAACACTGTCTCTGCCTGAATATTTATGTAGTATGTATAATATTACAGAAAAGAGGTTCCAGAATGTGTTCTCTGTTGACAGGTCTTTTTCAAAAATCTTATTTTGCATTTTTAAAAGAACAAGAAATAGAAATCCTCTGATTATTGTGTGTGCCCTTGAGATACTTGTTAAAAGTGGAATGAATACAGATGATTTTTAAAAAGAAGTTTCTAAGTCATTTGATGTTTATGTTTGAGTTCTCAAAGTTTGTGCAGCAAGCAATTAAGAAGGCACATGGTATGTTGACCTTTATCACGAAGATTTTCATACAGGAGTGAAGATATCTTCCTTCAGTTCCAGAGATAACTTAAAGGCAAAAACTAAGGCATGCTATGTTCAGTTATGAGCACCTTATTTAAGGAAGGATGTTAAAGCCCTGGAGAAACTTCAAAGGGCTTGAATGATACCAAGAATGAAGGATTTTAGACACAAAGAAAGATTAGAGAGTTTGGGTTTATTCTCCTTGGAGCAGAGAAAATTAAGAGGTGACCTTATTGAGGTGTTCAAAATTATAAACAATTTTGACAGGGTAAAGAAGGATATTCAGTTTTCACTAGTTGGTACGTCAGTAACTAGGGTTCACAATTTCAAGATTGTCAGCATTAGAGCTAGGAGTGAAATGAAGAGAAACTTCTTCAGTCAGAGAGTTATTAGGATTTGGAATGTGTTAGCTGGGAGAGTGGTGGAGGTGGATTCCATAGGAGGTTTCAAAAGAGAGTTGTATGTATATTTGAAAATGAAGTTAAAGGGCTATGGAGATAGGTTGGAGAGTGGGACAAGTTGGGTAGCTCTTCCAGGAGCCAACATGATGGTTCGAATGGCCTCCTCCTTCTGTACTGTAAAATTTTATGATTCTATGATATTGCAAAAGTACGTGACAAGCTGGAAGATTAGGAAACTTACGATCAACAAAGGCTTGCTTAAAAAGTAATTTTAAAAAAGGTAAATCATGAAAGAAAACAAGCGCATGATAAAAAAAAAATGGATAGAAAAAGCTTCTTTACATATATAAAAGGGAAGAGAGTATCTAAAATAAATCTTGGTCCCTTGGAGGATGAGAAGGGGGAGTTAATAGTGGAGATCACAGAAATGACAGAGATACTAATCAATATTTTGCCTCTTTTCACAGTGATGAAAACTAGTACCATCCTTATAGTAGCAGGTAATGCAGAGGTAATAGGAAAGGAAGGAATTAAAACAATTGTTGGATTTGAAGGCAGTCAGGTCCCTACGGCATAATGGCCTACACCCTAGGATCTTAAAGAAGTGGCAGCGGAGATAGTGGATCCATTGGTTATAATATTTCAAAATTCCCAGGATGCAGGAAAAGTTCCAGTGGATTGGAAGAATGCTAACGTAATACCCTTATTCACAAAAGGGAGGGAGGCAGAGAGTAGGAAATTATAGACCTGTTAGTTTAACATTTGTCATAGGGTCGTATAGCATGGAAACAGATCCTTCGGTACAACCAGTCCATGCCAAACATAATCCCAAACTAAACTAGTCCCATCTGCCTGCTCCTGGCCCATATCCTTTAAAACCTTTCCTATTCATGTACTTATCCGAAGGTCTTTTAAAAATTGTCATTGTCCACACATCCACCACTTTGTCAGGAAGTTCATTCCGCATGCCAACCAGCCTCTGTGTAAAAAAAAAAAAATTGCCCATCATGTTTTTTAAATCTCTCTCCTCTCATCTTAAACATGTGCCCCCTTGTCTTGAAATTCCCCATTCTGAAAAAGAGAATTACCATTAACTCTATCCATACCCCTCATTAATTTATAGACTTCTATAAGGGTGCATCTCAACTTCCTCCACTCCAGTGAAAAATGACCCAGCCTATCCAGCCTTTCTTTATAACTCAAACGTTCCATAGCCAGCAACATCCTGAAATCTCTTGTGAACCCTCTCCACCTTAATAATATAACTGGGTGACCAGAACTGGACACAGTATTCCAGAAGAGGCCTTACCAATGTCCTGTGCAACCTCAACATGATTCCCAACTCCTATACTCAAAAGACTGAGCAATGAAGGCAAGCATGCTAAATGCCTTTTTAACCACCCTGTCTATATTTGACACACACTTCAAAGAATTATGTACCTGAACCCTTAAGTCCCTCTGTTCTACAACACTACCTAAGGCCCTACCATTAATTGTATAAGCCCTACCCTTTTTGGTGTACCAAAATGTAATACCTTGCATTTATCCAGATTGATCTCCATCTGCTATTTTTCAACCCATTGACCTATTTAATCAAGAACCCTTTATAATCTTGGAAAACCTTCTTCACTGTCTACTATGCCACCAATTTTGGCCTTGTCCACAAACTAACTAACCATGCCTTCTATGTTCTCATCCAATCATTTATATTAGTGACAAACAAAAGGGGACCCAGAATCGATCCTTGTGGAACACCGCTGGTGACAGCCCTCCAGTCCAAAAAGCAACCCTCCACCATTATTCTCTGTCTCTTGCCATTAAGCCAATTATGTATCCAATTGGCAATCTCACGCTGAATCCCATACAACCTCACTTTACTAACTAGTCTACCATACGGAACCTTGTTGAAGGCTTTACAGATGTCCAAGTGAACATGTCTACTGCTCTGCCCTCATCAATCTTTTTGATAACTTCCTCAAAAAAATCAATCAAGTTTGTGAAACACAATTTTTCTAGCACAAAACCATGCTGCCTGTTTAAATGTCCATGGAAAATTGTTAGAATCCATTATTAAGGAAGTAATCACAGAACATTTGGAAAGACAAAATGCAATCTGTCAGTCAGCATGGTTATTTGAAGCGTAACTTTTCAAAGATGTAATTAGCAAAGTGGATAATGGGGATCCTATAGAGGTAATATATCTGGATTTTGAGAAGGCATTTGATAAGGTGTGACACAAAAGATTAATACACCAGGTAAGATTACATGGAGTTAAGTGGCACTTAGCTTGGACAGAGGATTGGCTAACTGAGAGTCAAGATAAATGGGCCTTTTTCTAGTTGGCAAGATCTAACTAGTTGGGTGCCGCAGTGCTCATTACAGTCTATATTAATGACTATGCAGGGATAGAACATTCTTTAGCCAAATTTGCAGATGACACTAAAATATGTGGGAAAGTAAGCTGTAATGTACAAATAAAAAATTTACAGATGGATATATAAAGTTAATGTCCCCATAGTCAATGGGTCCAATTCCCACACCGACTGAGGCTTCCATGAGGGACTCTTCTCCTCGATCTCTCCCAGCACATAAGGCGTGGTGCCCCTCAGATAGTGAGGGAGTAGATCTATGATCTGATTGGACTAAGCATAGCTTAGGTGAATTGGCCACAATTTGCCTGATGGAGTTTAACGTAGGTAGATGTGATGTTTTGCATTTTATCAGAAGAACATGAAGGTAACGTTACCTAAATGAAGAGAAACTTCAGGGTGTTTAAGTGCAGAAGAATCTGGGAGTCCTTGTGTGTGTATCACAAAACTGGTATGCAAGTACAGCAGGTAATAGGGAAGCCAAATGAAATTTTGGCATTTGTTGCTTAAGAAATGAATAAAAGCAACAGTACAAGGTGTTGTGACACCATACATGGAGTATTGCATACAGTTTATTCCTCTTCCTTAAGGAGGGATGTAGTTACAATGGAAGCAGTTCAGAGGAGCTTCACTAGATTGATTCCAGAGTTGAGGGGTTTGTCTTATGAAGAAAAATTGAGCAGTTTAAGCCTCTACTTTCCAGGGTTAAAAGAATGAGAAGACATCTAATTGAGGTATATTAGATACTAAAGGGGATTGACAGAGTTGCAGAGCAGATGTTTCCCCTTGTGGAGCAGCCTACAATTAGAGGTCAATAGTTTTAGGATAGGGGTTTGAGTGAAGATTTGTAGCTCGGGTGCTGGTTGTAGATGTTGGTGTGTTCACCAAGCTGGGAGGTTTGACAGCAGACGTTCCGTCCCCTTGCTAGGTGATATCCTCAGTGCTGTGGAGCCTCCTGTGAAACACTGTTGTCTTGTGCCAGTTTGAATTTATATGGTTTCGTTTTTGCTGCTTCCAGTCGGTGCCGGTTATGGACATGACCAGATGTCCTTGGTTTCAATACACACAGACAAGAAAAACCATACTTTCAATTGGGACAACACTACTATCATTGGACAAGCCAAACAGAGGACAGCCAGGGAATTTTTGGAAGCTTGGCATTCATCCGCGGACTCCATCAACAAACACATTGAATTAGACCCGAGAAACCGAACATTACAACGCACAGCCAGAACTGGCACCTACTGGAAGCAGCAAAAACCAGACCATATCAATTCAATCAGCATAAGACAACAGCGCTTCACAGGAGGCTCCACAGCACTGAGGATGTCACCTAGTAAGGAGATAGACAGACTTTTAACTGGTAATGGGCTGAAGTGTTATGGAGAGTGGGCAGGAAAGTGGAGTTGAGGTAAAGATGGGATCAGCCTTGACCATATTGAAAGCTGGAGCAGGCTTAAGGGGCTGAATTGCCTACACCTCCTAGTTCTTACCAGCCTTGATGAAACTACACCTGGAATGTAACGTGCATTTGTGATCCTCACCTGAGGAAGGATGTACTTTCCACATATGGATTATGCAGAAATTCACTAGACTAATTCCTTGGATTATGGAAATTCCACTTGAGGAAACTGGGCCTTTAGTGTCTACAATTTAGATGAAAGTCAAGTGACCTCACTGAAACTGTTTTCAAGTGTTGATGCAGAATGAATGTTTTCCTTTGGCTGTGGTGTCTAGAACCAGAGGACACCATCTCAAAACAAGGGCAAGTAATTTAGGACTGAGATGAAGAGAAATTTCTTCTCTCTCCATAGTGAATCTTTAGTATTCTCTACCTTGTAGGGCTGTGGAAGCCCAAGATCGAATTTGATACCTTTTTGCGTATTCATGATGAGGGATATGAGGATTCTACTGGAAAATGGTGTTAAGGTAGATGATCAGTTATGATCTCGAATGGCAGAGCAGGAACAGGTGCAAAGAGCTGAATGGCCTTCTCCTACCCCTATGTTCCTACAAACCTGTGCTTCCATACCATTCCAAATTCCATATTACATCAAATAAAAACAAAATATTGCAGTTGCTGCAAATCTCAACTAAAAACAAAAAATACTGGACAAACTCGGGTCTGGCAGCATCAGTGGAGAGAGAAACAGATGTAATATTTTGACTCCAATCTGACTGTGTTTTCTTCCGTCTGAAGAAGAACTGCTATGGCAGTACATTATGAATTAAAAATAATCAAAAGTGTTGTCTTTCCTACAGGGTTGCTATAGATTTTCTTGACTCCAAAGCCTTCTGCAAGAACTCTCCTCACATGAAAGGAGAAACTGTTATGAAAAAGAGACACTTGGAGATTTTGGGATACCATGTAGTACAGGTACATTGTTATTTCTGATTGCTATCAAAATATATACATATATCTTGACTCAATAAGAATAGCATTTAATATTGCAATACAATGGCTTAGATTAGCCATGCATTTTCAAACAGTTTTGGAATGAATAGAAACTTGAAATGGTGCAGGGATCTGCTCAATTTTCTCTCAGGCTTTATCCACTCTTTTCCAAATTTCACACGAGAATGACTGGATTTGAAATATACCTTTCTAAGTGAGCTTAATGAAGATAAATTATACATGGTATGGTATATTTTTTATCTATAATACATGAAATGGTTGGCAGCAATGTGCTGCATGTGTTTGCTAAGGTAATGAAGTGGTCCTTAAAATTTAAAATATGACCGTGCATGCTACATGTGAGTGACTGCATCATGCAAATTTACATGTATGTGGAGAAGTAAACTTCATTTCTTTCAGCTAACATTGCTGGCATTGGCACCCTGGCAAGACCAGAGTCTACCAAAAACAAAGTAGCAGTTAGGGTACTAAGACACAGGTGTATATCCATCAGCTGTAATCTGTCAGGATTCCTGCTGGATTGGGAAAAATCCAGACCGTTGTGCATTAACTATTTTGTTTCCCATTAGCTTTTTTTAATTAGCCATGTGAGGTCCTTTATTATGACCAGTTATGGTTCTATGAGCTTTCAAATTTTCTTCTACTGTAATGGAGTTATCATAACTCATATTTAATTTTAATTTACTAAATGTAATAAATACTATCACTCATGTTATGCTTTGATAACTGGTGACGCAGTAATATCACTCATTGCTTTTTGTTTTGAAATTTATTGCTTTTTATTTAAAATCTGAACCAAAGCTTCACCAATAAATGATAAAAACAAAGTTGTCCTCGTAACTTCTCAATTTCAAATGATCCTTTCATCTTTTTTTAAATATTGCTGTAGTTTATACTTTTATTTCTTGCAGTGCAACCTCACAAATTTTGCCTTTTTTGAATCTCTTTATAGATCCCCCATTTTCAATGGAATTCCATGGAATTATCCACAAAGGATGCATGGGTAGAATATCTTAAACAAAAGATATTTACAAAAGAATCTTGAAATCATGAACTAAATTTTAGCAAAAATGGTTGTTGAAAGATCAGCTGTGGAAATGTATTGAATATTGTAATAAAGCAGATTTGTTCTTGTGTTGTTAATTTTTACTATTTCTAAATCCCAATTCAACTGTCAAAAAATTAGAAATTCTAAACCAGTATTTTAAAAAATTACCACAAGTAAGGATAATATTTAAGGAATGTATCCTACATTAGTGAGAAGCTCCAAGATTAGAGGTTTACCATATTGAATATGAAATATCTCGCGTGAAATTTCTATACAGTGTTGGAATAATGTACTAGAGGATAATTACTTCTATTTTTTTAAAGAATATAGACTTTAATCAAGGGAATTCTCAAATAATAGAAGAAAATGCAGTAATTAAGTTTTTTTTAAAGAACTAGTCAAAAGAAACCTTTTGAATCTCTGAATTTTATATTTCAAGCAATGTCAAGGCTAATGAAACTAATAAGCAAATTGAGAGAATGGGTTGAATTTTCTACTTTTAAGTTAACTTTTAGTATTAAGTACTCAGCTCACTGTATTGCATTGCAAAAAACCTTAGTGTTTTATGTGCTTTCAGCTTCTACAGCATGCATATGTTCTGCACCTCTTCAGTGTATACCTGATATCATCTTGACCACAGAGTACAAAGCAATATTGTATAAACTCGTTATAATAAACTCTGACTCATTTAATAGTAATAATTCCAGTTGGTACCACACACCAGTTATATTTGTCTTTTGTTTAGCAGCAATATTAATTACTCTCTAGAACTAATTACAATTTGGTAAGCCTGAACATGTTGAGGGATACAGCAAGACACGTGGCTCCTGTTGCATAATTAATTTCCTTCACCAGACCACTCCATTCCTTTTTGTCATCTTCATATCTAAAGAGAAAGTACGAAATGTATCTTAGTACTTTCAAAAGCTTAGTTTTTGCATAACGTTAATGTAAAATTTAGCTAAGTATTCAAAATGTGTACAAGATCTAGAAATATGCAAATATTTAGTTCTTTTTGACTGAAAACAACAAATGCTGGTGATCACAGCCGGTCAGACAGCATCCATGGAGAGAGAGTAAGCTAATATTTTGAGTCTGGATGACTCTTTATCAGAGCTGAAGTGTGGGGTGCTTTAAATCAATGGGCAGTAATAATAGGAATGGATTAATTGATTACATTTGGCACGTACTTTGAACAGTTAATTGGGATCCAAGGAATCCTGTTGCAACTGGAGAACCTCCATTTAAAAGTCATTTTAATCAAATTTCAGTTATTTGGAGTTTCGTTAGGAAGAAACTTTCAACTTGGAAAGCCTAAAGGCAGGATTCCCAAATAAAAATAAAAAGCGAGAAATACTCAGCAGGTCAGGATGGCCTCCAATTCTGTCAAGCAAGAGGAACAAGGTGTGATATTTACATTGGTTGTCTATCAAATCTATAAACCTATAAATAGAAATAATTTACAAATTGACACGTACAAATATGAAACAAATTTACACCATGCTTTGATTAAACCCTAGTTAGAAATAGTATAGAGTTTTGGATATCCTATGACAAGGTATTGAAACCTTTGATAATATATAGTTGTAGAATCAGCAAGTACAGGAATCTACTGAGGGAATATTGACTAGTTACACTCAAGTAGAACAGGCAGAAGAGACTTACTTGAAATTTTAAAAGTGACAATAAGATAGCTTAAATATTTCTTTGGTTCTAATCTTGATAATATAGGTTTAGGCTGAGGGGAAAATGTGGAGATTTGCAAACTATCGTTCCTGAACAATCTTTCCCAGTAAATGCAATTATTTTCTAAAGTTAACAGGTACTCCTAGCATTCAGACTTACTTCCACACATCAGCAAATTCTGAGGGAGCAAATTCTTTGTTTTCTAACTGAATCATAGCAAAACCTCCAATGGCGTAAAGTGATCCAGCCATATTGATGATGTTTATAGAGCTTCTCTCTTGTGGGAATTCAGGCATTACTTCCCATCTGTGACAGTCAAACAAGAATAGCATAATACATTTCAACAGTAAATAAACATATATTCACTTTCCACAAATGACTTTTAGCTAGTCTACGAATACAAGTTGTGAACATTTTTTTTTTTAGGTACATATGAAAATTGCATTAATTTGTGAAGACTATTATATTTTGCTATTCATTCAAATAATCTACCAGTAGAAGTGCATAGGTTGTAAAGTTGCACCACTGCATTGTTTTTAAACATTATTTGTGGTGAAATATTAAACTTCCTGTGTTTAGTATGTAAGAATTATTCAGTATTCAGATTGTTACACAATTTTATCAACATTTTATTAACAATTTTGGTACAAGTCAGGAGCGTGATGAATACTCCTCAGTTACCTGAATGGGTATAGTCTGACAAGATTCTCTCCAACATTGATGCTGAGTAGCAGCAGTGTGTACCATCTCCGAGATGCACTGCTGAAACTCAGCACCTTCCAAACCCATGCCTACTACCATCCAGTAGACAACAGCAGCGGATACATGGGAACACCCACCGTCTGCATGTTGTCCTCCAAGCCACTCACCCTCCTGACTTGGAAATATTTGCCATTTCTTCACTGTTGCTGAATTAAAATCCTGGAACTCCCTCCCTAAAGGCATTTTGGGTCTACCAACACCAAGTGGATTGTAGCAGTTCAAGAAGGCAGCTCATTACCACCACCTCAAGAGCAATAGAGATTAAGCAATAATTGCTATGAATGAATTTTTTTTTTTACACACTTATTTAGGTTTCTGAAATAATATATGCAGGTGTATATTTCTCTGAGCCTTTGCCTATGGGGATGGCAGCAACAGTAATGCCAATAACAATTTTCATTGATAACACACCGACTTTTATAATGATAGATTTGAAATGGAGCCTTATGAATAGGTATCATGATAGGTGACCAAAAGCTTGATCATACAGATAGCTTTTAAGGAGGAGAAAGACAGTGAGGTTTAGGATGAGCATCCCAGAGCTTACGAGCAGGACAGGTGATGACATTGTAAATAATAGGAGTAATTTAAAAGGTGGAATATGCAAGAGATCAAAATTGAAAGATTGCAAAAGGTTTTAGAGCTAGAGGATGTCAGGGATTGGGAGAGGTGAGGATATGGAGAGATTCGAAATAAGTGACAATTTCTTTTAAAGTAGAGGCATTATCCAACTGAGTACCAGTGCCGATTAGTGAGCACAGGAGTGCTATCAGCAGGATTTGGTGGAATCAGGACAAGGACAGCATTGAATGTTGTTGGCATAAATGTGGAATCTAACAAAGGCCCAAAATTTGTGATCAAAGGTGTAGAGATGGTGCTCGCCATTGGCATCGAAGAATGCTGCCCACTGAAAGACATAGATTTTACTACTGCTGACATTAATTTGACTCTGACACAAACTAGTTTTTGTTATAATACAAGTGTCCATGTTGGTGTTGATACACAATTAAGTGAGTTGTGAGGAAAGCGTAAAGAGACTGCTGAGGGCTATAGACATGATTGATCGACAAGAACCTGGGATTTTAAATACACTATGGTGAAGTGTGAAATCAACTATTTTTGGTAAGAAAATGTTTTGAATGGATAAGTTAAGAAGGCGTATGGGCCACTTGCCTTTGTTAGTCGTGGCATAGACTATAAGAGCAGGGAGGTTATGTTTGATTTGGTTTTATTTATTATCACATGCATTTTGTTACAAAATACAGTGAAAAGTATTGTATGGTGTCGCCACTCTCTGGCGCCATCTCAAAACACCAAAAAAAAAACCAAAACGAAGAATATGAAGGCAGAATAATTAAGAAATAAAGAAAAAGTCTTCAACTTTACAGTCCCTCTTGGTGAGTGCTCCACAAGAGGCACAAGACCTCTTCACCACTGGAATGAAAGTCACCACTCTTCAGTGCCGTCTCACCTCCACCCCCAATGCCCTAACCATTATGAGTCCTCGATGGACCACGCCAATGTGACTGCACTAGAGAGATGCAGAGCAGATCCACTAGGATGTTGTCTGCGATGGAACAGTTTGGCTATGAAGAAAAGCTGGATAAGTTTGGGTTGTTTTCTTTAGAGCAAAGTAGGCTGAGAGAGAACTAGTGTGAAGTGTATGAGGGGTATGGACAGGGTGGACAGAAAACAGCTGTTCCCCTTGGCTGAAGGGCCAATAACAAGGGAGGTTAATTTTTATGTTGAAAGATGGGAGATTTGGAGTGGTTTTGCAAAAATCCATTTTCAGTCAGAGGGTGGTTGGAATCTGGAATGCTCTGCCTGGGAGAGTAGTTGAGACAGAAAACCTCATTAAACTTTAAAGAAGTACTTGGATGAGCACTTGGAATGTCATTGGAGGCTATGGGCCAAGTGTTGGAAAGGGAGACTAATGTAAATTTAAAGAGTTTTGTCACTGCAAATTCTCTGGGCCAAAGTGCCTCTTCTTTTACTCTATGATTCTATGAGACTTGGATGACCTTCTACATAAATCACAAAGTTAACACAGGTACAGGAAGCAATAAGGAAGGCAAATGCAATGTTGGTTTTGTTACAAAGGAATTGGAGTATAAGGATAGGGATACATATCACTCGTCAAACCACACCAGGAGTACTGTATATGGAGTTTTAGTTTCCAAATCCAAGTAAAAGTGCACTTATCTTAGAGGAAATGCAACAAAGATTTGCTTGAATGGTTTCTGGGATGAGTGAATAATACGATGAATAGAGATTGAGTAAACTAGGCCTTATATTCTCTTGAATTTAGAAAAAGAGAGGTAGTCTATCTGGAACATGTAGAATTCTAAAGCGTCTTAACAGGGTGGATACTATGAAAATGTTTTCCTAAAT